AGAGAGCAATGGCAACACTGTACGGGGGGAAAAACATTTTTATCTCCAGCGCGCAAGATTATTTTGCGATACTGCTCTGGAACTGAATTTTATGGTTTAAGTGCGAAGAACGTGATGTTTTGTAAATAAAGGTTACACACAAAATATTAAAAAAACGCGCCTTTGGACGTAATTTAAAATCCAAATCCTTTTAGATTTTTTTAATTTAATAAATAATTTTAATGAATGTTATTTATTATTCAAAATTAGTTATATTATTTTTACTGTTATTTTATTACTATATATTTATATTGATATTCCAACACAAATTACGAAATGCATGTATCTATCAATAGTTCTAAAAAAAATTAACCCAAGAGGGTAACATATGTAATATGTTTCCTAATATTAATACTTCAAATATGCAGTAAAGACACTGCAAGATTACATTTTTTACTCTAAATTCTAAAACTAAACTAACTTTTAGTTTTTTACTCTAAATTTATAAAGGTTTACTTTTATTTGATTTTCATGTTATAATTTTAACTGCAAAATGTATTTGTCTTGAATATGCTTAAAACATAAAATTAGGTTTAACAACCACCAAATTTATATTGCATTAATACCCGTAGCATCTTCAAATTTTCATAAGGAAAATTTTAAGTTGATATCGTTTCCTCTAAATACTTTATTTGTAAAATTTTATATACTAAATACTCACTTTTATTTTATTACTACTCTTCTAACACTTACTGCCCACTGCATGTTTCTTTTAATATACCTAAGAGAACCAATTAGCCTAAATATTGACACTGCATATAAATTATTCACAACACTTATAAAATACTCGTAATATATGTGAAATATAAATGGAAGCCAAAAACAATTTATTAATGTGAAATATATTTTTGTCAATTTTGAGAGCTACTCACCTAGATCCGTCTTCTTCAGGATCATGTATTTTCATACAATAGTATGCCTAAATTTTATTAGCTTAAATTCAGTATAATATCAGAAAAATATTCAATAAAAAATTTCGGTAAGGTGAGAAATTTTATTTCGCTGAAGAGGGCATGTATTCAACATCTTGCAAAAAAATGGTATTTTTTTAATAGAGTCTCGAATTTGAGACACAAAAGGACTCAATGAGCCCGTTTTCAATTTTTCAGATTTAGTTCTAGTTTCAAATATAAAGATGTGAATTACTGATTTTTTATAGTTTGCGTATTTATATGAAATTTGATAGATTGTGGTGTTTTCTGAAATACTTAGCGACATATTGTGCATATTCATTTGAAATGTGTTTTATTACATACTCGCAGCGTCTGGCTTTTAAATGTACCGGAAAACTGGCTGAAGGAAACATTAAATTTAAAAACTGCACAGAATTTTACTCTGCAGGATAGCTTTATCAAAAAAATATTACATACAACAAAATTACAATGAAATAAGCAATATCCCTTAATACAAAATATTAATTATCCTAATAAATAAATTACTCAACTTCCCGTTGTCTTCTCTCAACAAACCTCCAGTATCCAAGACAAACATTAAATTTAAAAACTGCACAGAATTATCTCCCTCATTTTTCCAAGTGGCAACAGTAATGGTTTCAACAGCCAGCAGTCGAGCATAAAAAGCACTGAATGAAAAACTGTTGCCAAAACCCCATTTTTAAAAGAATGAAACTATTCAAAATGACGCGATTTCATCAAAAAAGATAAAATTTAAAAATATCTGATTCGAACTTTGAAAAAATCGCTTCAAGGTGCACTGGCTCTTGTCTAGATGCACCTACGAACCAAATTTTGTAGCCTTGGGTCTATTAGCTTACGCGCAGCACGAACGAAAGGCACACAGACTCTTTCTTTCATTATATGTAGAGATTAAAAGCTAACAGTTTGTTAATTTATTAAATTTATTTTTAGTTTAGAATTTCTTCTTATCTTCTTTATAACCGCAACCTGTATAAAAACGTCTTCTAATTTTACGAAAATTATTTCACTTTGATAAAGGTTTTCGCTAGGCTAACAATTTCCTTTCCATTCCAATTCAAAACTCAAATTAACATGTTCAGTTTCGTGACAGTTACATCCTTTCTAATGAAAATGAATTCACATTATAGGAACAGTAGAAAAGAAGAAAGAAAACAATTTTTTTAAAACCAAAAAATAAAATAAAATAAAATAAAATACTGCACCAAACTCCTTCAAGTGTTGTATGACGGCTAAAAATATATCATGTAAGACTAATAAGCAGTAATTTACATTTTACTTAAAAAGAAAAAATATTAAAAATAAAAATTATAAAAATTTGAAAGGATTCAGGTTTTAAATTCGGTCCAAAGGGTCGTTTCTTTAATAATTTGTCTGTTACCTTTATATATTAAATATCACGTTCTTCGCACCATAAAAGTGTTTAAAGATAAAAGTATTTTTTCTGTGCAATGTTCTCATTGGTCGCTTTGAAATCCTTGAGTTTGTTAATCAACAATTCGTTAAAGTTTTACATAATATGAAATCGATCATGAAACAAATTTCAAATTTGGGCTTCCACATGCCCATATTCGCAGTAGGATTACGTCATTCGAAACTCGATGGCTTTATGTACCGTTGTTTTATCAGAATGCGAGAAACATACATACATTTATGCCGGTTTTTCATTATTTAATTTCTTCAAATATAATGCAGGACTCTAACATTGGGTGGCAACAGTTTGAAAAGTGAAACGGACATTTATAGTGAACCAACGCAAAATCACAAAACGGAAACAATTGTCCTTGAGGGACAAAACTCCTTTGGACTTTAAAAAAAAAAAAAAAAAAAGAGGCATCTTTATTCTTGATAAGAAAGTTTATGCTTAAATAAAAAAAAAAAAAAATGTGTTACTTGCATGCTTAATATAGAATGATCCTTTCTTTAAAGAATACGCTTATTTACCCATGCAGTTGTTCTCAGTAATATTTAATACATAATTTCAATTAGAAATTTATTCTTAATCCAAATTCCAATTAAAAATCCAAATTTCTCGACTTTTGATTCAACTTTGAATTAAGCTTTTATAAGACGAGAGTATTTACCCACTTTCATGTTATAGCTATGTAAGGTTATAATTTAAATTAACCAGTTATTTAGAATTTCAGCCTTTACTATAACTTATCCTTTCCGCTTTCTCCATAGAATCTAAATGAGTTAGATAGTATTTAAACTAAGCTTTTTGGATTGATTTCAAGACAGAGCGTGATGTGGCCTGCGCGTGCACGCTACGTTTTAATTCCTTACAACTTAATAGTTGTAAGTTGCGACTTTGCTGTCGACGAATTGATTTTGACACTCGGGTAGCATAATTGGGCCAGCTTCAAAAAAGATTTAAACTGTGTAATCTTTGACTACTGCTACAAGTTTAATTTCAGCTTGACTGTTTCTGTTTTTAAGTTGTTTCACTACGAGTTGTGGCTGAGAGTCTGAGATTATATAGACAAAGCGTGTTCTGCATGCTGAATGCCACGTTATTAGCTTATATTTTAAGGTAAGCGTTTCTGTCTACGGCGTTGTTATATTCTTTCCGATAGGGCTGTCACGCAGGTGTAGGCTTAACAGCCAACTTTTTCAATTTAAATTTCTCTGCGCAACCTTTAACTGCAGCTATTTAGATTTAGATTCACATCGAAGATCTGCTTTTGAGTTCTCACCACAAATGCTGGTTGATTTGTAAGCATCATGTGTGCTTCTATTCAACTTATATAATTTTACATGAAAGGGTCTTTTACATTCTTCTTAAGTTCTGTTTCATGTTAGATATGACGATAAATTCCTTACCTGTCTATTGGAGGACTTGTTAGAAGATACATTTAGTTTTAGGGACATTCTCTACATACTATTTTGAACAATAAGGTACTTGTCTTAAATTAACTAAAAAAGAAATGAAATAATGAGTAGGTATTATCAAAAAGTAAGATATGAATTCAAAAGTTGTTAGTTTATCTTTTAAATATAGTATGCTGCATTATAATATGTTGATAAAATTAATTTCTTGAAGTTTCCTCGAAAAAAAATCGTAAGCAAAGGAAAATTCGTAAACAAGTTTGAATCGAAAAGACGGAATTCTAAAATTTAAATTTTTCTATGTAACTTATATATGTAATTTAATCATGAATGATAAATGATATAATTTTCGAAGTAGATAAAAAGAACCTTCTTTTGATATAATAATATGCTAAACGTTTCGATTTAATTTCCTGATAAGGTATTTCTCCCACTTCTTAACGTGCCTTCGTGGTGTAGTGGTTCTGCACGCTGGGCCGGTATTCCAGAGGTCCGTGATTCGATTCCTGGCGAAGGCGTTTGCTAATTTTTCGTCTCTCCGGCTTTTCGAATTAACCTAATGTCTCTACAGTGGCGACCGAACTAAAAGGGTGGAGGATGAGGATTTCTTCCCACCCTGGGTTTGGCGATTGGGTCTCCTAAAACCCCAGTCGCTCTTTAAAAGGGGAGTATATAAGGTATTTCTCTCACCTTCCTTGGCGAGCCTTCGTGGTGTAGTGGTTCTGCTCGCTGGGCCGGTATTGCAGAGGTCCGTGGTTCGATTTCCTGCGAAGGTGGCTGCTTATTTTTCATCTTGCCTGCTTCCAAAAAACTCCTAATGCCTCTACAGTGGCGCCTGAACTAAAAGGATTGTGGATGATGACTCTCCACACCCAGGATTTGGCGACTGGGTCCCCTAAAAACCCCAATCGCCAGTATATAAGGTATTTCTTAGCGTGCCTTCGTGGTGTAGTGGTTCTGAACGCTGGGCCGGTATTCCAGATGTCCGTCGTTCGATTCCCGGCGAAGATGTTTGCTAATTTTTCAGCTGTCCGGCCTCCAAAAAAATCCTAATTACTCTACACCCTGTAATATTATACTGGAGAGAATCTATTGTATATTTTTACTTATCATAAGCATTCTAATAAATTGCTTGAAAACATTTTATGTAATTTTTTCCCTTTCATCTGTTATAGTACATATTTGTTTACTTTGCAGATTAACGATGCACGCGCAGAGAAAAGCAACATTTCTTCTTGGCATTATCATAGCAACATTTATGTTCGAGCTTGTTGCTATCGCTGAGGCCGGTAGCGGAGGTGGTGGAGGAGGTCACAAAAAAGGAGGACATCAAAATAATATGGAAGAACTCCTCATACTGACTGGAATTCTGGCGAAGGTCCTCCAGAAGCAAGGAGGGGGTCATCATAAATCCCAACCTATCCCGATTCCAATCTTCATTCCCATGCATCACCATCATGGTTGATAATGCAAGCGGACAAGTAAAGAGCAAAACAAAGACCTAGTCTTCTTTTATAAACTGAGAACTTCAAAGACTTCGAGATACAGAACTACGGCTCTTAACATAAAAAACACCTGTAGGCGAACTGAGTTAATTTTTCGTTCATTTATTTTGTCATAAGGACATAAGGAAATTCTCCCATACTTTGACATTATGCGCAATAATTATAAAACTATTAACTGCAAAATATCCATCACCATTAGGTGTTATTAAATATGTGTGAAAAAATTTATGTAAAATGTAGTTAAATATGGAATGCACGGTTTATTTTTGGAAGCTATTGTCTATCACAAATTGCTTTATGTAAAAACTTTTTATCTTAATTATCCTTTTTATCTTTTTAAATACCTTTTTTTTAAACTTTATAGCCGCGAGCAACTTATAGATTTTTTCTTTTGTGTGGCATCATTACTGTGCTTTGAGAAACCTTATCTTCGTAATCTAAATATAAATAGAAAAACGTTATGTAACCCAGTAAATATTGTCTATTAAGGAATTATTTTAATCTTAATACTTCTAGCAAGTTCGCTATTTAAATTTGGCTGTTAGCGTTTCAAATCCTTTATTATTGCTGAATGGCAGTTCAATATTCACTCAGTTTCACTTTTTCATGTCATAGCCAATGAATCAAGGGATCATTTTTCATAGTACAAAATCCCATGTTGAGAGTGTTCGAAGGACATGCATCCATTATATTCAAGCGGGCCTGAAACAGCATGTAAGCAAACGCTTTCAATATGTGACTTCACATCATCACAATTTTGTATACATTTTAAATGAGTATGTGTTTCTGTGTATTAAATGAAATAAATATGTTTTCATATCATAATTAATTTCTCATTTTTTTTTCTTAAAGCCTTAGAATTCTTAAAATGCAAACTTTCTTCCTGGTATATTTTACAAGTAACTTCAGAACTGAAAGCTTTTTAATAAAGGGTACAGGTATAGGGGCTGGATTCAGGAATGTATGCATGTATGCACGTGCGTATGAATCTATGCTCATATATTGTGTGTATACATGCACATACATACGTACGGACATATATACACGCATACATGAACACATGCATCCATATATACCCATGCATACATATATTTCTGAACCTGGTCCCGATAACAGAAGAGTACCTAATTAAGTCATACCTAAAATAAACAACTGTTGCTTTTTGTTTCCTTATACAAAGTAAAGTAAGTAAGTACTGTTATCGCGAAAAATTTCGGGTATCATATTTCACCGAAAACATCAATTCTGACTTCTCTCGAATCCATTTGAATGATTTTTGCGTGACATCTATACGTACAGACAGAATAAAGGATTGTTTTCTTTCAAAACAGATTGTAAAAATTTCAAACAGATTTAAATTGGATTCAGAAGAGATTGTTTTCATGACATCTGTACATACGTACATACGCAAGTATAGAGCGTTAAAAAAAGGTTGTAGAACGTTGAAATTTTGATGTAGGACTGTTATAACATGTAGTCCTCCTTTTTCTTTCTAAAACTGCGCATTTGTTATTTAAAAGGATTAAATTTTGTTATTCTCATATTGCGGTTAAAGTTTTTATGTCTTTAGTTAATCCTGCGTGCAATAGTTGTAGAATTATCAGCAATTTAAAAGTTGTTTAATTGTTGCTAAACCTAACGAGACCACCATTTGTTTAAATTATCAGCAATTTAAAAGTTGTTTAAGTGTTGCTAAGCCTAACGAGACCACCATTTGTTTACATTTGAAACTCTTAGTAGAATAACGAATTAAGTCAGTTAGAACTTTTAATTTAAATTGTTAACAAAATTTTAACTGCATTTAACTTCCTATTTAACTTACTTGGTTTTGTAAATTTTTCAGTATTTTATAATTTTTAATGAAGATGTTTTGAGTTTCTATGTATTTTTTACCTCGCCGCGGAGTGAGAACTAAATCGACTGATACGTCTCTAATGAAATTCGAGGAAATAAGTTTAAATGGAAGCAAAAAATGTGCATAATTTAATAGGCCGTACAAGTAAGTCATATCGTGTCCACATCAGATAATTTTCATTATTTTTTATATCGAACAGTAATTACACAAATGGCATTGGTGAGTCATACGTGAATGACTTCTATCAAATGGCGCTTCTGCTGCACAATATATTTTTCCTAATGGCATTGCAAGTTTTCTACTACTTGAAGTTACATACAGCCAGAGATATGGAAGACAAAAATATTAATTCAATAGTATTTAGTTCCAATATAATGCCACAATATGTCCGAAAAATATACAGCTTGTGGTATTACCGTGGGGAAACTGTAGAATAGTTATTCTTTAAACTACATAAAAGAAGCTATGAAGATGAAATTGTAGACACTAATTTTGAAATAATTTCAACAGGTAACACACAATTCCCAAGAATTCAGCTTCTCTTGTTGAGTTCTCAAACAATATAGCAGCTAATTAGCCGATGAAAGCAGCATCTTCTGACATGTTTTGATGCATGGCATCCATTAAATTATGCAAGTAATGTATTAACAAACTAAAACAACATCTTCTTTGGACACAATTTATCCGCTGTAATAAATTAGTTAAATTTTATTTTTTACATAAAACAATTTAAAATACTTTCCCAATATACATATTTGAAAATTTGCATTTGATTTGGGGCAAAATTATTTTTTGTGAGTTGTTATTACGATTAAAATTTAATAGATATATCACATTTTTGAGGGTGACAAACTATTTTTTCAATTTTATTATTGATGCACCAAAAATATGAAAGAAAATAATTCATGTCTACCACAAAAAATGCGAAAACCAACACATTTAAATGGATAAACTTTACGCATAATAGTTATAAATATCAACAGTAATGTAGTATCAAATGGAAAAATGTATAAAATTTATTTTAGCATTGAACAAAATTTCAAATAAATTGTTCACAATTTGAGCGACTTTGACCAATTATTTACCTTCTTCGAGGAATCAAAAAGCATCCAAAACTTAATTTTCTTGTACCGAAGCACATAATTTCTTTATCCAGTTATCTAATATCATTGGGCTTAACAAACTACAAAAATAACTAACCTTTTCCCTAAATATTATTATTTTCTGTTGCTTCGCTTCATAAATTCTATCGAAATTATGCAAAAGTAACATTAGCTTTTCATAAACGTTCAAAGCACTCTGTTCTTAAAGTCATCCTTCAGTTCTTAAAGCCTTCAGTTCTTCAGTTCAGTTCTTAAAGCCTTCTACTAAAAATCAATTAAGTTCAAGAAACATAGAAAGAAGTAACATATCAAGTTATTAGTATAAAAAGTAACTTCAGAAAGGAATCATTTAGTTCTAATCACAGTCATAAAGAAAATATACAGTTTATAATGAAATAAAACTTTAAACCTGATAAATGTGATCAAATCTTTGTCACATACGGATGGATGAAAATACATAAACGTTTCACCACACTTTCAATGATCACACTTTCTGATATTGGGTCATATAAAAAGTCTCCGCGTTTCTTTTTCCCACTAGATGGTGTTGATGCCTACATATCCGGCAACACTCACCCGATTGTATCAAACGAACATGTGCTTAAAAGGCGACATTCAGCTTTCATTGTTTGTGAAAATAGTTTTCTAATTCGTTGCTTGCGTAAAAAGGTATATTGATTTGAAATAAGTGAAATATCTGAAGAAATTCGTTATGTGATGCTTTTTTACTATAAAAAAGGTAAAAAGGCTGCAAAATCATGTCGAAAAATTTATGAAGTGTATGGTGAGAATGATGTGAGTGATCCAAGGACCTAGGAATGGTTTGCTCGATTCCATTCCGGAAGTTTCGATAGCAAAGATGCACCTCGCTCTAGTCAGCCAGTCGATTAAACTTTGCAACTGGTGGAGAAAGACCGGCATGTTCTACAGGATGGGCTATTGTAGTTCGTGTTACAACCGTGTTCTGAGGACTTGCATTTCAAATCATAGCACTGGTATTTTTCTAAATATTTATAGAATGTGCTATAAAGTGCGTTTTCACAACGTGCAAATGTGGTGTGTGTAGCAACCGCGTTCTCAGGACGTATATACTATAAAGCACGTGATGTTCACGTAATATTTTGAGCAATTACCTAACTAGGTATGTTTTTGTTAAAATATGAATAGAAATTGGAAGAACAGTTCGAAAAAAGAAAAAAAATGTAAGTTACATTAAACGAAGGAATGCAGAATAGTGCTACAGAATTTGAATCAACGTATATCTTAAGGAAGTACTTGAATACAGTGCGCTATGTAACAAAAATAGATTAAAGAAACCTTTCCTGAACGACACTGTATTTTAAGCTGATAATTTCGATCGTCTGACCTATAGACCAGAAAAACTAACCCCAATAGTCTGCGGCATTTAAACCAATAGTTCCAGTTATAGTATTGCTCGGTCCAAACTTGAGACAAAAAGCATGAATTTGGTTCGCAGTTTTAAATAAAACTCACATTTGCTTTCACTGCATTTTAAATTATTCATAGCTAAAAACATCACTCGTTAATAAATAACTATTTAATTTACAATGCTATTAATTGATTTAATTACTACATGTAAATGACAATAGTTTAGGGGAAGAAACTGCGGATTGTGTACAAAATTTAAAGTTAAGAATGTGGCAGAAATTAGGACGAGTAAAAAGAGTAATTCCTAAAATTCAATTAAAATTTTCAAAAAAAATTTAAACATCCTAAAATTTAATTAAAATTTTGTTTTAAAGAGTCATATTATCTGCTCTGTTTTGCCCATGATATAGGGCTGAACAGATAAGGGATAAATATATTTCAATGAAAGTATTCTTTTTTCCTCCTGAAGACGTGGGACCTGTTTCTGTTCCCTCTCGAAATTCATAGATTTCCGTAGAAAACTACGCCAAGCTAAAACTGCTTATTTGCCTAATTTACTTTTAGATAATAAATATATGTTTGATATTTCCCTCCTACTTTCTTATTTCCTACTGACAGTACCCACCTACCCACCCACACACATACATACTGCTAATCCCAATAATTATCAATTATAAATTAAATATATTCTAAATTAATATCAGTTTGATATACTATAATGAAATGTATTTTAAATTATATCAATTACATATGCAATTTAAATCATAAAGTTTAAAATTATTCAAATGTGTGATAATTACCGAAACTGTTATAAAATTCGCAGTTATAATTTGTAAGTTAAAGATGCCTTGACATGTTCATGGGCAACTCCCTAGAACTCTGCTAAATGCTAGACCCTGTGGCCAATAAATTAAAGATCTTTTATGTCATGCAAAGCAACTTTGACAAGTCGTAAGTATAAAAAATGTTGTAATTGCGTAACATAATATAATGGCACGGAAATTTTAAAATACTGTTGCCTCTGTAATATTTCAACTAAATGGGAGTTAATTGTAATTTATATTTTTGAAGTAAATACATTTTTGTTAAATAAATGCGTCAAACGAAAGCAAAATCTGCTCTCTTGCGGTAATTACCTTTTTGGACTATAATAAAATTTAAGCCAATTCTGGATAATAATATTCCGAAAATAGCAAATATCCGGATTTCTTGAATAACCTAAGGTACAGTCTGTTACTTTAGAAAATCCTCAAGATCGAAGGCTATTTTTTTCTACCAAATCCGTGATAAAGAATCGAATCCTCCAATTTTCTAATATCCCCTATAATTTCCTTTGCGCAGTCAGGACAATGTACGCTACGATCATCAATGAGGGAAGGGGAGTTACGACCTTGCAGCGCCTGTTTTAAAGTAACAGGCTATAGTCATGGTCGTAGTTCGTCCAAATATTGGAATTTCAAATGCATTTGATTAATGAT